AGACTATCAATATTGGTGCTTAAGCTACTCGTGCTTTTACTTGCCCTCGAATAGTTGGTACTCGTACTCGTACTCGTACTCGAATAGGTGGTACTCGTACTCGTACTCGAATAGGTGGTACTCGCACTCGTACTCGAATAGTTGGTACTCGTACTCATACTCGTACTCGAATAGGTGGTACTCGCACTCGTACTCGAATAGTTGGTACTCGTACTCATACTCGTACTCGAAAAACTCCGTACTTGCCCAGCTCTGCAACGTGAACAATTTATGCAATCATCTATTTTAAATAACACATGTATTCGCAATGCTGTCATCAATACAGAAATTAATGCTGTTACAACCAGAGCACAAGCAAAACTTCAGGTTCAACCACCTTCATCTACAGCAAATACATCTTCTACATCAACTACATCTCAATCTACATGTTCTGCTTCACCAACAGCTAATCAACTATATGATTTTAGTCTAGCTCGTATACGTTCTGAACAAGCGCACGATGCGACTATTCAACAAATAATTCAACAAATTCGAAATAATCGTCGCTATGAATCATTTATTCTTCAAGCTGGTATCCTGTACAAATTAGTTGGTCGAGATGATACTACTCTTAAACTTGTTTATGCACCTTCGAAATTAATTCCAGAATTAATGGCTGCCTATCATGATCACCCTCTAAGTGGTCATTTTGGAATTGGACGCACATGGTCTACGTTAAGAAATACATATTACTGGCCACGTATGAAGGACACAATAATATCTTATATTAAATCCTGTAAGAAATGTTCACAATTTAATGTAGATCGAAATAAACCACCAGGTTTCTTACAACCTATTCAACCACCTAATGATGTTTTTCAAATACTAGGTATGGATTGGTGGGGCCAACCACCACCTCGCTTTCTGGAAATCGTTATGTTTTAGTTGTCACTGATCGTTTGTCTGGTTATGTTTTTGCTAAAGCATCACCTACACTGTAAAAAAAAAGGGTAGAATAATAAACCCTTTAAGGGTTTATGAAAGTGCAACGTAGACTAAACCCTTTTACCGTATGTGAAAAGTTTCTTAATCCCTTTCATATACCCTTAGA